GACACCCTCGCCAACCTCGCCTCCGAACTCGATCGCATCCAGAACCACGCTGAAGAGAAAGTTCGCTTCCGCAGCGCAACCATTATCCAGAAGGACTTCGGTGCCGACGTTGAGATGTCTGTGGCGGAGCGACACTCGTTCGCCGCACAGGGTCCACGACGCAAGGCTATCGCCCGTGCCCGGAATTACCTCCTCTACTCCGCTCTGAAGGCCGATCACTCCTGGGTGTACTGGCGCGACGTGGACATTACCGACTGTCCCGAGCGTATCCTGGAGGACTTCATGGCCCACGATAAGGATATCCTCGTTCCAAGTATGTGTTTTTGCTTAGAATTTGGATCGGATGTTGGACAGCTGGCTGACCGTGATTTCTTTTAGACATTTGGTTCCACCGTTATAACCAGGATGGCCATGATATCGAGGGTCGCTGTATGTATACCCGTGACATCCTATGTGCTATGCAGATTGCTGACATCTTCACTCCTAGTTGACTACAACTCATGGATCGAATCCGATAAGGGCCGCCGTCTCCGCGCGAGTCTGCCTACCGACACCGTTCTGGCCGAAGGCTACAAAGAGTATGACACTGGCCGCACCTACTTGGTCGGCATGGGTGACTGGCGGAACAACAAGGACGATGAGGTGGAGCTTGACGGAATTGGTGGTGTCAACATCCTCGTCAAGGCCGACGTGCACCGCTCCGGCATTAACTTCCCCGCATACGCCTTCGAGAACCAAGCCGAGACCGAAGGTTTCGCCCGCATGGCCAAGCGAGCTGGCTACCAGGTGGTTGGACTGCCCAACTACGTGGTCTGGCACATTGATACCGACGAGAAGCCCGGCAACCTTGGGGACCGTAAAGCGTTCTAGTTTCTGCATTCCGTCCGCTGGAAATCTCGCTTGAGATCAAGTTGATCTTTGATCCCACCCCGTCCGAACATCCATCTCCATTACCGCCCGTGTGTTGTTTTTTCATGATTACCATCCGTGACAGCTTCTAACCACGGCCGATTTCACTTCCCTCACTTCCGACCCATTTTCTTTTCCTCTTTTTTTTCTTCTTTTCTTGGATGGATGTTTCGCGACGGAAAGCCTAATGACTTCCCTAATACAGTATCTTCGTGCCGCGTTCTAGGGAGTGTGTGTATTTGTTACCTTGGCGCTACGGGGGAAAATGTTGTTTGGCGGGTTCGCAGGTCTATACAGTTCGCCGGTTCTCCAGGCCTTGATATATTTTGTGTTGGGACACACATCCCTTACGGGCTGTGTATATCCGGGCATGTACACTCGAGTTCCATCTCGGTCATCTGTGCAAAACCTACATTAGGGAGAACCGGGCCGTCTTCTATGTGTCTTTTTCTTGTTTCCTCTATTTGATTCTGATTCTGCTATGCAGGTCATTTCCCAAATTGTCCTTTCCATTTCATCTTTTTTCATTTTGTCATATGCTGAGCTGGCGTCTTTGACTGTTTTTTTTTTGAGATGAGAGGCAGGATATCAGACCAACTCAGTTGAAATCCAGATGCTGTGTGATGAGTCTAGATTTCTTGCAGATGAAGCAAGGCAGATACCTGTGCTGCGGCCTATCTGCTGAGGTTCATGTATATAATCAATTGCACGATTCCATTCCCTGCAAACACACAGGCCGTATGCTCTAGGTATTTCACGAATGAAGCTATTCGCCTTGCTGAGCCTCAACCTCCTTCGACCTCCTACATCCTCCAGCTAGATATCATGCACGTGACCCATAATCATGCCGGTGCTGACATACTCATTGAGCCTCCAGGGCTATCATAAAAGCTCAAATAGGAAAGGCCCCCTAGGGAAAAACATTCGGTATACATCGCTTGACGTTGCACATACTTTATACAAGTGGACAGAAACCCCAATCCAAATCAATTGGTTTACATTCTATTTCCTTCATTCCCTTCGCAATGTCCCTCCATCTCACCCGCGCCCTTCAAAGCAAAGCCCCCCGCTTTCCCCCCACGCGCGGCAATCATTCCTCCGCGTCCCGCCATCACACTTATTCTCCTCCTCAGCCTCGACTAAAATCCCCAGAAAACCAATCCTAGCTTTCCAATCCCGCAAAATGTCTTCCGCCCCTGCTAAGAAAGAGTTCCTTTGCATCCTGCCCGATAAGCCCGGCGCGCAGGCCAAGCGTCTCGAGGTTCGCCCGTGAGTCTTTCCTGGCATCTAGAGTCCGCGCGGGACGTGCGTGTGGAAGGTTGTCTTGCTAATGTGTGTTCAGTAAGCACCTCGAGGGTGTTAAGCCTAATGTTGCGAGTGGTGCTATTGTTGCCGGTGGTATGTGACTCATTTACTTTTATTGTGTTTTCCGTGTCTAGATAGTGCCGTGGAAAGTCCGCAAGCGTACGTACATATACTGACATGGATTGTCTCTTCTCAGGCGCAATGCTCAATGCTCACCCCGCTGATGGCGAGACACCCTCTTTCAAGGGAAGCATGATGCTTGCTGTTGCGGAGAATGAGGCTCAGGTGCTTGAGCTGCTTAACAATGATATCTATACCACTTCTGGCGTGTGGGATATGGAGAATGCGCAGATTATTCCGGTATGTTATGCATTTGGTTTTCTTTGCTCTTTGCTAATTTGTCGCCTGGTTTAGTTCAAGTCTGCTGTTCGTGAGGCTTTGTAATTTGCATATCGATGTAGTTTTTAGCTTTGGGTTGGTCGTTTGATATATTGAATGAATGCGACTCTGCATCTAGGTGCCTTTTGGTTTTTGCCAAGTAGTTCTGTTCTACTTGTAGGATGGAAAACTTTCGTCGTCGTATCATGCAAGGATAGTCGGCTGCTTATGCGGCCGTAGCCGTAGCCTGGTGGTCTTTTCAGGCAGTCCACTCCGGTAGTCTTTCTTGGTAGTCTCCTCAGGTAGTCTTTTAGATGACTGGTTATATGGATATTTCCTGTCCCTTCTTATGGGTAGACCTTAGAAAAGGACCAAAAAGCTTAGTTTGTGAATCCCATATATAGCCTTCTAATGTTTGACTAGCAAATGACGAATGATTGAGCAATGCCGAGGATAGATACAGTTAGTCTCGTACGTATGAACTTACTTTCTCATTCAGGAATGAATATCCCGATTGGAATAAGCCGAGAAGTGGAACTATACTCCGACTTTGTCTCCGAATGTAACTCCGCGGGAACATGGCCTCTGTATTATTTAGATACGCAAATGTAGTAATAGCGCGATAAACATATATTGTATTCGAATAGTCGAAATATAGCAAAATATCGAACCGATAATTGATCGCCAGGGTTGTCTTTCATGCCTATCACTTCTCTCCACAATTTGATATCATTGCCCAACAATTGGCTTAGAGAGAGGCGGAAAACAAGACGTTCACCGGTCGAGTCCACCGCGGAGAACTCGAGTGGTGCAGAAAGGTCGCCACCCCTGAGAACTGATATCACCAGCACGCATTATCACTGGCATAGAGAGATAAATCCCCAACTTTTCCCCTCTGTCATCGAAATATCAGATTCGAAGAACGAAGAGATAAAAGAACGTCATCTTTGTAATCTCCGACGACCGGCGGATCCGGCCAAAGAAACTACCCCATTAGGACTAGCGTGCTTATCTAAGACCCGATCAGATTATTTATGAATTCATCACTTTCTCCCTATCAGATCCATCTTTTTTCGCCTTCAACAACTACATCACTCCTCAGAACACATACCCCATCAACGATACCCATCATAATAATCCAACATGTTCAAACGCCTAGTCACCGTTGCTCCCCGCGTCGGCTCCATCGCCACTCGCAGCACCCTTTCTCCCCTCGCCGGCCTGCAGTCCGCTCAACCCGCCATCCGCCGTGCTGCTCCCGCCCCAGCTCAACAGCGCAGAGGATACCACGAGAAGGTCCTGGACCACTACAACAATCCCCGCAATGTCGGCTCCATGAAGAAGGGCGACCAGGACGTCGGTACCGGTCTCGTCGGCGCGCCCGCCTGTGGCGATGTCATGAAGTTGCAGATCCGCGTGAACAAGGACTCCGGCCGTATCGACGACGTCGTCTTCAAGACCTTCGGCTGTGGTAGTGCCATCGCTTCGTCCAGTTACCTGACTGAGCTCGTGCGCGGTATGACCCTCGACGAGGCTGGAAAGATTAAGAACACCGATGTGGCGAAGGAGTTGTGTCTGCCTCCTGTCAAGTGTATGTCCCCTGTGATGGTTTTGATCGGTTCCCATGCTAATATTTTCTTAGTGCACTGCTCCATGCTCGCTGAGGACGCTATCAAGTCTGCCATTGCCAACTACTACACCAAGAACCCCAACACCCGTGCCACTGATCTGTCTGGGACGGGCGGCGTCATTCCTGATGTTAAGGTCGAGACTACCACCAGCCCTGCTGCTTAAATTCATTTCTCCTTTGACGGTGTGATGCTGTCGGAATGACGCAGCTCACTCGTTTCGTTTCACGAACTCTGCGATTTTAATTCCGAGGTTGTCTTAATACACAATCATTTGATCAAGGATGCTTGTTCTTGTCGGACAATCGACAAGAACTGATGTGCATTTGGGATTCGTTGTACTTGATGTCGCTGAAAATGTGCGCCAAGAGATGACGATGGATGAGATGAAAACGAACAATTGCCCATTTGTTTGATGTACATATTTCCCTTTTCTTTTCACGTTCTGATACGTCCTTTTTCTTTTTTTTCTGCGACGGCGCCTCGGTATGTGGGATCCTTGATCGATACTCTCATCTCCATTTTCTGAAAAGCAGCGCCTTGATAGTTTCCAATGAAACAGTGATACCAGAACAGTTACCCTTTTGTAAAAGTAGACTTGGAAGTAATAGGCTTTCAACAGACAGTAGCGGCATCGGATTCCACAGTCTCTTCTTTTATTGCATCAGCAAGAAACGGATATTCAGAACGTCGACTACACAAGTCTGATAGTACTTTTGGATTACCAGCTCAATTCTAGACGTGGCTGCAATACATCAACAAACGGATCCCATGCGATTATCATCCTCTCCGAAAATAGCCTCCTGTCCGAGCAGCGACAGGCAACTCGGGTGGCCGGTTTCTACCCTCGCCACTCGATCTCCATAGGAGCTGTGCCTGTTCACACCACCGAAAATGGTCCAAAAAGCCGTCTCGCGCATACACTTTGTCTCGAGCCTCGTATCCCCAGTCCCTGTCCCTAGTACCGATAATATCTTTCTCAATAGCAAGTTGACACCCGGCACACGAAATTCCGCGTTCCACTGTGCCAGTCTGCTTATCGTAATAAGGAAGCGCGCACGACGCCATGAAGTTGAACTTTTTATTTCTATCCGAGCTCGCTTGGGCTTGCGAAGTTGTATGCGGTTGTCGTTTATAAGCTAAAGTAGCAGTAGCTTGATAAAGAGAGACGATCGTAATGCGGGTATTTTGCGTAGATTCATTCATCGAATATATCCCAGGCAAGGACTTGAATGACCTTAGTTGGTTGTCTTTGGTCATGTGGAATTGTTTTCGGACTGAGGCGAGAGTCCGCACTTGGGTTTCTGGAGATTCCTGGAGGCATTTGAAACAGCATCGCTTCCATACTAGAAGGGATATAAATCCGGCGAATTCGCCGCAAAGGGTGCAGTTCTTGATACATAATGCGTCGTAAAAGTCGAGTAGAGAAATGTCGATGGCAAGTCCAGTCCGTAATAAGGTGCAGAAGAGGTTTAGTCCATGCGAGACTACACTCTGATACTGGTTGAGAGAGTCTACGATCTGTCTTGATCTGAGACTGATTTGTCGAAACTTGAATACGGAATGCATATCCAGACGGTATAATATGTCAAACAAGAGTTCGAGGGGTAGCCGGTCGAGGTAGCCGATTCCAACTTTCGAAGCCTGTTGGAAGGATGATGCCATTGACGGCCGAATACCGACGTGTTCATGAGGCGAGTACCAGATCACTGATAGACAGTAGGCTCTGCGGTGGTAGGCAGTGGTCCGTACAATGGCGTCGGCTTGCGCTTCGTCGAAACAGTATTCAGTGGTGGAGCGATATCCGCGGGGTATAAGGGTAGCCATTCTTGAGTTTCTTTGGTACGGAGTGAAGTCTGCTGTCAACTTCCACGAACACTCCCTGAAGGCGTAATGAACGCGAGTTGATCACGGATCTGAGCAGGAAATCATTGCAGGGGTGTTTCTGATGTTGAAGGATTAGAGTACTAGTTAGAGCCCGAGAGACAATATTCGCATTACCTAGAAGGTGTTAGTTATGTAGTTATAGCATGTCACTCTCTTTTAAGAACACAACACTTACACATGTATATTCATATATTCCCCGGTTACCTCATTATGTCCTTATGTACTTCCTCATCTCTAAGTCAGATTATCTCTTTTTCTCCAACTCTCGCGTTTCCTTGAATTTCTAACCTTTCACATCTCTTTGTCTTTACTGCCCTACACCTCCGTGGGCCCTGAAAGCCACGACGTCGCAGTCGCAAGAGAGCTTCAGCCCTGTCGTTTCGTCCGGCTTTCTACGCCCTCTTCTATCTAAGGGTGAGAAGACGCCTGTCATTACTTCATCACCCCGTGTCGGCTTTGACACAGCAAGTCAAAATGACCAAGAACGACTTTGTAGAAACTATCTAAGACGAGATGGATATCGATGTGCCATTACGAAGAGCTGGAGCTCCGATCACGAATTCCCCCCTGGCGAGATTACCGCCATTTTACAAGCTGCTCATATTCTTCCGTTTGCCCTTGGCAGTCTCAATGATGAAAGACAGACTACCTCTCAGGTGTGGGACAGTATCTTTCGTTACTTCCCAAGCCTCCGCTTCACCCTCAATATATCACCTAAAGATGTGAATCGAGAGAACAATATCATGTTGATGATCAGTCCCCTTTCTGAAGAGTTCAGCCGCTTCCGATTTGTTCTTGAGGACACTCCGATGCCTAATCATTACCGTCTCAAACTATTTCCACGCTTCTCATCTGCCTACACACCCTTCTTACCCCATGATAGGGTTGTGATGTTGACTAGCCACGACCATCGCTACCATCTTCCTGAACCCCAGTACTTACAGTTGCATGCTGTCATTGGGAACATCTTGCATGCAAGTGGCCGCGTAGAAAGGATTGAAAAACTCATACGGGATCTAAGAGGGGCAGGCGGTTTAGCACTATCAAAGGATGGCAGTACAAACATCAGTGATCTACTCTCGGTCAGTCAGCTTTCGCTGTTGGCCTCAGCTTCGCGCCCAAATGACAGTAAGGTACAGCAGTGATGTGCCCGGGCTAGAATGCCAGGAGCAGAGAATGAGAATAATTGAGAATACCTAGGTAGACTTTGGGACTAGACTCTGCGTAGCTGAGGATCAGTGAGCAAAAAGCAACGAGGGCTGAGCACTAAAACAGAATGGGAAAGCCAGTAAATGGCAGAGGAAATCAAGTACATAGGTAGACTTGGAATATCAGAAGCAGTCTATGATTTATGAATTATCCACAATCTATCTATTTGTACAAGATCACACTAGAATCTTTGCTTTCTGCAAAAATCACCGCAGAACGAAACCTGGAAACATAGGACAATCCACCCTCTAACAATCCACGCAAGAGACGAAGAGGCCATATGTGAAAAGAAATATAGAACGCCATCGCTGATGCACAGACAGACCACTCAAGACAATCCGTGCCAATGAACCAAAACAAAACCAAGGGATATAATGGAAAACAGAACAAAGGAAGAAAAGACACCAAGCGCAAGCAATCTGCAAAAAGACACTGTCTAAACACTCCGGAGGCCGAAGCGAGTCTTCAAGGACAGCACAGTCTCATAAACGGACAACTTGACCTCAACGCGAAGGTAACTCGCGTAGGCACAAATGAAGCGGAAGAGGTTGCGGAACACACCGCCAGACTCCTTAATAATTTCTAGCTGCTCTTCAAAGACAGTGCGCGTAGCGTATCGCGCGAGGATAAGGAAAGAGCGCATTGGGCCCTGACGTGTGTGAAGGTTCTCGTCTAGACTGCGAGCTGGGAGGGTGTTAGTCGATGATATCCAAAAGAATTGAGAGTCAAAAGTGAATACATACTGAGATCATTGGTCTTCAAGATGAGAAGAATAATCCGCGGAACTTGGCCTAGCAAGACAACCAGCTGTTGCAGCATGCCTTCACCCAATGCACCCGAGATATCATCTTTCTCTTTGGCCGTTCGCGCAGAAACCACACTTTCATTTGTGAGAACGCTGTAGTCTCTACCGGTAATGGCGCTGGCAAAGAGCGGGAACTGCTTGTCCGTGACGCCGGCGACCTTGTACGCGAATTCGCGCATCCGCGGCACGTCCGCGTCGATAACGGCTAGCCACAGCTTGGCATAGTTGCGGCGCAGGTCGCGGTCGATGTTGCGGTAGAGTCCGTGGTCATAGAGGACGATGTCGAAGTTGGGGTGTGAGCGGGTGTGGTTGGGGCGGATGGCGATGTTGCCGCCGTGAGGATCGCAGTGGAGTGGGGCGTTGTCTCCGAAGATCATCTCATTGAAGACGTGCGCGAGAGCGGCGGAAACTTCATCACGGTCGATGTTGTTGGCGTCCAGGTACTCCAGGTCGTCGGGGCGGTGGCCTGCGATGTACTCCATGACGAGGATACGTTTTTGGGACCACATCACTGGGTCTAGTTAGTTTCAAACCATACACATAAAGTCAGGATTGGCAGAATTACGAACCTTCAGGAATGACTAGTGGAGCATCGGAGTGCTCTTTGAAGTACTCGCTGGCATGGGTAGCATTCTGGGCTTCCATTCGGAAGTCCAGCTCTTGCGGTAGCGAGAAATCCATTTCCTTGGACAACCATTCCAGGTCATACTCAGGGAAGAAGCGCTTGAGCATAGAGAAAGTGAATCGAGTCAAAGCCAAGTCTAACGGCACCCATTCGTCCAGCGCGGGGTGCTGGACTTTAACAGCGACCTTTTGCCCGGTTTCCTTCAATGTAGCAATGTGCACCTGAGCCAGTGATGCAGCACCAATGGGCCTCGATTCAAACGAGGCGAACAGCTCGGTAATATCCTGGCCTGTGTCTTTGCGGAACAATTCGGCGATTGACTCAATTGACGAAACGGGGCATTTGTCCTGGAGCGGGATGAAGGTCGAGGTCCATTCGATGGGAAGCAGGTAGCCCATGCTGCTGAGGTGTTGGCCCAATTTGATGAAAATCGATCCATTCTTTTCTAGGACGCGAAGTGTACGCTCGGCGCATCGCTTGTGGCATGCGCTAATCAGTGCATTCTGTTCTTCGGGGGACGAGGCCTCTTGTTTCAGGGTAACACGGTAGCTGCGACGATTCGAGGTTGCGTTAGCGATTTCGTCAAGGCGCAACATAGAAAAGGTCTAGAGAGGCAGTGCACTTACTCATTGATACAGACAGCTAATGTGCCAACGACGCGCCCGCTGCGTTTCGCCGCCTGCAACGCATGCTGGGCTTGATCGGAGAACGTCACTGCGCCCAAACCGAGGATACTTCCAATTATAAACCATTTGATCATACTTCGCTGCGACGCACTCATATTGGGCTCATTTTCGGACTTGTGCTGGCTCTTATTCTTCGAAGACAAGAGAGGCGAAGCCTTCGCAGAAAAAGAACGGCGTGAAGCGGCGAGGGTCGAGCCCCAGGAGGACATTGAACGACCCCATGATGGAGCGTTGATCACACCGGAAGAGGGCGACTGTCGTAGCGGCGAGTTCGAGGCCAGAAGAAACGAGGATGCAGGTGTCGAGGGTTTGGACGTTTTCCCGACTACCGTAGCGGGATCAATCTTGAATGCCCGCAACGGCACGCGAAGCGCTGCGCTCATGCCGAAGCGAAGGCCACCGGCCAGAGAAAAAAGCCAAAAGAAAAGAGGAAGGGACTGATAGGGCTTGTAGGCGTTTCTGGGCTCAATTCATCGTATGATCTTTGTCGGCTCAGAGAGATTTTTCACGGTTCTCGCCGCCAATCGGCTTCGGCGCTCCACGTGATCCCGAGATCTATAGATCAGCCCATAACAGACGTCATAGCTATATTGGTGTTGAATCAGTTGAAGGATGGGATTGACCAGTAGATACGATAGCGAAATGAGTGCAAAAGAAGCATAACTTCGTATCGAAAGAGAGTGTGGGGTTGGAAGTATATCAAGGGCTGGCCTCAAGCCACCAACAAATACAATGCCCTTGATATGCCTATTGTACAATGTTGTACATATTGAACTGTTCACTTATGAGCTTACTCAAAGACACTTGTGCAAATTAGAAAGAATTATTGATTTGAACAGAAAGGAAAACCATAGACTCTATGTGCAGCAACCAGTGCTCACATAATAACAAAGGGGTTTTACAAAGTAGGAAAGCCATGCACCATCACCCCCAAAGTCCATTTAGAGTTGATAACGCCGTTGCCTGTGTACGAAAGGCTACTATGACGTGGGGAAATCGGAATAACACAAACATTTGATTCCGCAATAGACGTTTTCGGACGTCGGATTACGTCCACTCAGAGTCTGCGAGGGTTGGGCGGCGGCGACGAGGGATAATTGAAGGTCGCCGACTTAGCGAGCTTGGAGTCTTGTTGTCTTCCTCACGCAACAGCTCAACGTGAGTCATTCTACTAGAGAGGGGTCGGGCAGACCGGGGCCTGGCAGCGGCCGCACTGCTTCCATTGGCGGCAGATCCAAGAACCGGATTGTTGCCATCTCGACTGCCAGGTCTCATAGCAAGCGAAGAAACACTGAGAGAATTCCGTGGGTGCCGAGGAGTGTCCCGACCTTCCAGATATCCCCTTGACTGGCCGGTGCGGTGCGATGAAGGTGTGGATGGGGTAGATGATGCCGAGAATAAGATTGGAGGGGTAGTGCATGTGCTTTGTCGTCGGGCTGCCGGTCTGCGTTTGCTGACGCCATATGCCTCGCTAGATCGAACGAGCTTGCCTGCCATATCTCTGACAAGGACTGCGGGGTCGTTCTCCATGTTCCGAATAGCGTCGAGAAGGCCATAGGTTGCGAGTAGCCCACCTTGCTCTTCGTTTGAATCGCAGATGCTGGCGATTATACGC